GGTCACCAGCATCCACCCTTGTTGAAGAAAACTCAGACAGTGAGTGAAATGTTCAGTGCCTTCATGGAAAAAGGTAGATTGATTACAGAAAGACGTGAAACAATCATGCGGAACAGAAAATTTGGTTTTAGCTTAAATAAGGGGATTATTTAAAATTATTAACATTTAATTTTGCTTCAAAAAATGCCTTGATGTTTGTGACTTCGGATGAGTCTTAAAGACTCTGATGTCCTGAGAGCTGCTTTGCTTCGTGGTTCTCTGCTGGGGCGCGGGGGGTGGGAGGAGGGTGGCGGTGAGGCCTGGAGACTGTCCCCACCCTGTGCTTCTCTGTGTTAGCAGCACAGATGGCAGCTTGCTGCCCTGTCACCAAACGGTGATCGCACCCCGCATGGCTCTCAGACTGCACACATGAGGCAGGTGTCTCGTTTCGTGTTTCGTTCTGCCACGGGTGACATCTGGGTGTCTTCCGTCACGGGATTTCAGCGCTTCCCTCCCCCCTCCTCAGCCAGACAGCACCGGTCCCCCGACAGGGCTCCTGCGCACAGGACGGGCACTCAGGGTCCAGCGCCCTCGGGTCACGGCGGCTTCACGGTTACTAAAAATGGGTTTCCAGGGGCTTTTATTGTCCTTTAGACCAGTTACATGTCAATGACAGGTTGGCTTACCTAGTTCAGTGAAATTTAATCATTGTGATAAAGTCATTTTAATTCTTTTTTAAGTAGGCCAGTGCCACGATGCTACGTAGCAGGGGACACTCCTGTAGTAAGGTGAGGTTTCACAGCGCTGGTCCTCCAGTCCCGGTGACTGGTTTTCTCCCTGCTCCTGGAGGGACAAGCCTAACAGCTGATACAAAATACAGGCAACACTGAGATTTTTGTATTCGGCATTTGTAACAGTATGAAAAGAAATGAAGTGCCGAAACCAGCGCCGTTGGCTGCCCGTTGCTTCCACTCTCACACCAGTCCTCCCCCGGCGTCTCCGCCGGCTCCGGCCTTCTCGGCCGACAGCACGTTGCTCGTCGGCGTGGTCACATGCCTTTGTTTGCAAAGGCGATGTCTTCTGTTTCACTCAAGTCATCCTGAACAAGTGTGTAACACTCGATATTTATTTAGGTCTATAGCTAAACGCACATATTTATATAAATTTTATATTAAAACTATATTTAATATACAAATCAAACACAAATAAATATATATTTAGTTTATATAGCCATATTAAATTATATTTAATATAGAAACCAAACATAAACTTTTGCATGTAATACAAATTTTCTATTTAATTTATATATTAAATATAATTTAATATAACTATATTAAATATATGTTTGTAAGTATGTAGATATGCTTATATTTAACTTATGTATTTATATATATTAAAACATATTTTGATAGAGGCCGGCTTTCCCGGCCAGGTGGCTCAGCTGACCAGGGTGCCGTCCTGTGACCGAAAGGCTGCAAGGTCAGGCACACACGGGAGGCAGCCAGTCAAAGTTTCTCACACTGAGGTTTCTCTCTCTGCCCCCCCTTATCCTCTCTCTCTAAAATTAGCAGACATGTCCTTGGGTGAGGATTAAAGATAAAATGAAGTTTATAGGCTGGGATTAGCCGGTGGTGGGTTTTTTTTTGGCGGGGGTTGGGGGGGATTCAGTTCAAACTTTCCAGTGATTTTGTTTTGAAGAACATGTGTTCAATGTTTCGTTTGTGTGTGTGTGTCTGTGATCGACAGCAGACAGAGGGGGGTAGGCAGGGAGTAAGGGGGGAGAGAGTAAGGGGGAGGGGATGAGAGAGAGAGAGAGAGAGAGAGAGAGAGAGAGAGACTAAGCTCCGTACCTAAAAGCTAAGCAGAAACTTACATCCACCTGTCGTTTTCCTGACTAATTCACCTTGACCTGGCCCACACCCCGCTGTCAGCACGCCCGACTCCTCCTCCAGGCAGCCATCTGGCCCAGGACCCCTGTGTCCCTCTCGAGCTCAAGCGGAGTCCCCTGTTTGCCTGTCCTCCGGGAAGGCACTGTCCCTTCAGGTCTGCACCCTCAGGGTCCAGCCCAAGTGTTTTCATCTGCTGTCTTCATGACCGAATGTAAACATGGTGAGAGGCATCCGAACCTTTCGTTTTGTTTTGTTTTAATGGTTTTACCACATCCAAGGAAATAAAGGCTTATCCTTTTTATAAGGAGCCAGATGGGAAAATATTGGACTCATCATCATTCCGTTACCAAGAGGGGGACTCGAAGGGAACTAGTCTCTCCGGGGCTGGCTGTGCTCTGAGGGCGCGGAGGGGGAGACAGGAGGCGTGGACCTCGGCGGTGAGAGCAGTCAGTGCTGCAGAGCAGGTGCGCGCGCGCACAGTGTGTCTGCAGCTTCGGTGGCGGTGGCGGCGTTGCTGCGGGAGGAAGAACGCAGCGTGCTCACATTCTCGGAGACCGAGTGCAAAGGAGGAGATGTTTGCTGACCTGAGCATCTGGAGCCAAAGCCATGGGCCCAAAAAAAGAAATCAGCAAATATTTAGAGAATCAAAATGACAGCAGCTTAGTGTACGTGTTTACCTTCAGGAGATTTTGTTTGTCTAACTGTTTACATATTTCACTGTTTGTAAGTAGAAAATAGAAGTGGCCAATTTGTATAAGAACTTAAATAAACAATCACATTTCTAAGTGGGTAAGTAGACCTCTATTTGGTTCGGTTATTCAGGCAGGAAGTTGGTCTAACAAAGGTGTCAAATACCTAATCAGCCAAGGTCAGACTTTCAAAGGAGTGACATTTAAAGTAGATGTTTACATAATAGTTACATCTTAGGACAATGAGTAATAGCTTTTTCTGTGTGCTTCGTGTAATTTTTAGAATATTACTTATGCCTCTTTCTGTAAATTATTTCAGCTTATCGAGACCACAATTCATTTTTTAAAAAAGATTTTATTTATTTTTAGAAAGAGGGTAAAGGAAGGAGAAAGAGAAGGAGTGAAACATCCATGTGAGGGAGAAACATCTACCAGTTGCCTCTGGCACGTGCCCCAACCAGGGACGGGCTGCAACCCAGGCGTGTGCCCCGACTGGGAATCGAACTGGTGACCTTTCACTTTGTGGGACGATGCCCAACTGAGCCACACTGGCCAGGGCTCTTTTATTTTATTTTTTTTTACACTGTGGCAAAAACCTCATATTTGTTTTTACTCTTCTAATTCAGAATTTTTAATGTAGTATTTAAACAGAATCTTTGCTCTGTTTTTTTCCTTTTCTTAAATAAGCTTTCCAAATTATGATACAATATTATAGATAAGATTATGGGAAGAATGCTTAAAATTACTTAAGGACTGAAGCTATTTTTACACATTCTCAAAGGTTTCAGAAACCTTAGTTGCCTAATGTGCTAATAACAAATTATCTATTCATTAAAACTAGCTCTGTGAGATCCACTAACTTGAGTTGAACTCTAAAAATAATGAAGTTGCATTTTTTTAGAAATAGTCCACACTAAGATTTCTGTCCTATCAAAATGCCTTTTCTAACAGAATTAGTTTGAAACGGTCACTGCTTTTATGTTACCAAATCCAGTTGACCCTCTCAGCAAACGGGCACCGGACGATGGAAGTCCCTCTGTTCATGGGGCTGTAGTTGCGTAACATCAGCCGAGCCACCTTGGTCTTTCGCGTGCTCTGACAGCCTTGGGAGCAAGGCTCTGAAGTCCGGGCTCTCCCTGCACAGGCGTTTGAAGCCAGTAGGGGCTAAGAATGGCGGATGACTCTTCTCTTGTCCACTTTTTGCACAAGAGCTTCTCTGCTTCCTTGGGGACCAGACCATGGATCAGGGAGAAGATTCTTGGGAAGTCATTTAGGTAAATGCCGTGGTGGCAACTGGAACTCCAGCAGATCTTTTCCTTTCGTTTTGTTAATCACGTCGTAGCGTTCCCGTCTCTGCAGCCTAGTACTCGGGAGTCACACATCTTTTAGGTCCTTACAGGTGTCCCACAGGGCATCTGTACTTTTTTTTTAATTTTTAAAAATTAAAAAAATATTTTTCAACTACAGTTTGCATGCAGTTGATTTTGTATTGGTTTCAGGTGTGCAGCATCCTGGTTGGATAGTCATGCACTTTACAAAGTGTTCCCTCGATATTTGCGGTACCCACTGGCACCAGACACGGTTATTACAGTGTTATTGACTGCATTCCCTGTGCTGTGCTTCCCATCCCCGTGACTGTTCCGTAACTACCGATCTGCACTTCTCAATCCCACCACAATTTAGAGATTCTTTCTTTGACTTCAGACTTCATTCTCTGTTCAGATAAAAATACCTCTGGGAGGGTGTATTAGATTTTATTGGTCATTTAAATTTTAATGATGGAAACACACAAGATTCTTCCGGAAAAAAACTGTTTTTTATAGAAAGAAAAACAGCAACATCAGTAAGATTCTGGGAGGACAGTGTTGCACTTGCTACCATAACCGAAAATGCGCTTATCCTTGGACCCAGCAATCCTTCCTTGGGGATGACCCTTCTTTGGGGATATTGTTGGGGGAGAAGGGAAGCTATCTTCTGTGTAGAAAAGGGAAAAATGTAAGAGGAGGTAGAATCCTTTTACTGGCACAGAGAACACCTTGCAGGATAGAGGAGAAAGTGTTCGGGCAGTTACACAGCTGTGCGGAAGAGGGGTCAGTGTCTGGGGACCGAGAGAAGTGAGGCTGTTGCCTTTATGCATTTTTATGTTTTTTTAGTTTTGAATCACATGACTGTGTTATCTGTTTCTAAGACAGCTTGGTGAATGAATGAATGAAGGAAGGATGATTAAAAGCAACAAAAGAGGATAATTCACCCTAAGTGAGGAAGCTACAAACTTTGAACACAGATTCTTTACCTGTAACGCTGCAGAAGGCTGGCTCTGAAGAGCCTCTCTCACTGGCGGCCTTCAGCTGTGCATGCAGACGATGAGCACGTGGAGGGAAGGGAAGTTCTGACCCTTGCCAAGTGCCCCTCAGTCATGTTCCGTGTTTCTGTGGTTCTGTAGATGCCGGAAGAGCAGGCGTTCTGTGTTTTGGTGAAAATCATGTATGACTATCACTTGCGAGACCTCTACAAAAACAACTTTGAAGATCTGCATTGCAAATTTTATCAGCTGGAGAGACTACTACAGGTAAATAAAAATTTGGTTGAATTACAGAAAAAGTCTAATAAAATTGAAGAACTATCATGATTTGTGAAAGCTTAATGGAGTTCTACAAAATGCAGATGGATTTGGTTTCTGATCAATATCTACACTGTTTTTAAAAAAATTATTGTTGTTCAGTTAGAGTTACCCTGCCTTTTTCCCCTCGCTCGCCCCTCCCCACACCCCCCTCACGCAGTCAGTCCCCTCCCACGGTCCGTGCCGTGAGTCCTCTGTTCGTGCTCCTTTTCCCGCCCTGTTCTCCCCGCCCCCTTCCCTCCGGGCACCGTCAGCCTGGTCTTCATTTCCAGGTCTCTAGTTTTGATATTATAAAATATTTGTATAACCATTTTAGTATTTTTAAAGTCATTGTCCTTTTTAAATATTCAGCTGTAACACACTTTGAAGTGAGAATGTAGTGAGTAAAGTCAGTGAAGAGACTGTTGAGTGTTATTTGTAAAGAGATGAAGCTGTTTGCAGAATAAAAATGAAAATACTTAGGAGTTTTTTCTGTATTAGTTGGTACCAGTCCCACTCTTAGTCCATGTGCAGAGAACACTTTGAAGAGGCAGAAAGATACTGATAGAAAACATTATAGTGTGGAGACATACTTTAAAATTTTTCCCACGTAAGGTGAAGAGATTAAGGAAAAAACCTTGCGACACAGGCAGCAGAACGGTGATCGCGAGAGGGCACGGGGGAGTGGGGGAGGTGGAAGAGGGTCAAGTTGGGGTGAACGGTGACGGAAGGAGCCTTGACTCAGGGCGGCGAGCACACAGCACAGTGCGCAGATGATGTGTTACGGAATTGTACACTTAAAACCCATATAACCTTACTAACCACTGTCACCCCAATAGATTCAATAACAATTTTTGAAAAGATTTTTTACATAAGTTCCTGATTTCAAACAGAGTTGTTACTATTTTATAATATGTATGTGTAAATGTGTATATATATATATATATATATATATATATATATATATATATATATGTCAAATAGTATATAAAAAGATTATGAGGGCAAAGTTATTGACTAGTGCTGATAAAAAAGGATTAATGAGTAGCTTTGAGATTCCAGCTGAGATTAGAAATCTTAAATTTATAATGGGTCTACGCATTTCTTTATGTCAGGTATTGGGAACCCAAGAGAAATGTGAAAAAATACACATGAATGGGGTGACTCCATACTGGGGAGAAGAGCAGTGGCTGGGAAGAAGGTCGGGGGGGGGGGGTGTGGCAGGAGAGACTGGCGGGAGTGCGTTGACGAGACCTGTCAGGGGACCCGTGGGTGTCTGGAGAGGGGACAGGCGGGTGGAGACGGACATTTGCAGTGAGGTGGAGGGCAGGCTCCCTGGGAGCGGGGAGGCGGAGGCTGGAGGACCTTGAAAGTGAGGAAGGGATAGAGGGGTGGAAGGATGTCGGATAAACTGAGCACAATGGCAGGTGGGCATCGAGGGGAGGAAAGACTGTAGAAGGCTCTGGTAACTCCAGGCATTAAAAGCTATAGGCTCTTTTTTAGAGATTTAGCTTTTCCAAGAAAGGGTTTGCTTGGGATTATTCAGTTATTTTTCTCTTACAAAAGTTTATATTGTTTCAGAGGTCACTAATCTTAAGTACTTTGAGAGCCAAATACTTGTGCCTGGTAGATGAACAGCAGGTTCGCAGTAGTATGAAAAAACCCAAACACGTTTTTCCGTTGGCGCTTCCTGTGTGTTACCTGGATAACCGTCGGGTGCCCCATCTAAGGCAGGAGACAGTCACTTTGGGTGTTTCTCAGAGAGCATCCTGCACCAGACGTGGGATGTTTGCTCTGTTTCGTGGGCTGTTTGGGAAAGAAGGCTCTCGCATATCTCTGCCTTTCAGTTGCGGGAGCGCTGTGCGGATGCTGCCACTGCCTTCCCCGCTTGTGAAGAGCAGTCACTGGTGCAGCCGGGGAGAGAAGATAAAGCTAGCATAAAGGCCTTGGAAGGAGACACTCAATTTCATACATTATACACCGGCAGTTCCTGTATTTTGCCATTTTTTCAAGATATCATAGATAGATTTTTAAGAATTTAAAAATTTGGTTATGTTTTGGCCTTTTCTAAGTGCCAAAAAGTGTACTGAAGCAATATCACACAAGGCGATGTTGACATTAAGTACATCATCTCTCCCCTAGCCAGGGAGGGCTTGAACGCTGCAGGGGTGCTGTCACTGGACCCCGAGTTGTGACGTTCCCTGGAAGGCAAGTGGGTATTCCGGGCCTTTCCCAAGAGACAAAGCCAGTCAAGGGAGCAAGAGACGATCTTTGTTATTTGTTCCTGGCAGGCCTGTCTTTCCCTCCGTGATCCATCACGTCCCTAATTCTCATCTCCTGTCATCACTTCTGTGCCATTCTGTACAATTCAGTGGATGCTGCAGGGAAATGAAAGTGTTCATAGGAAGCTTGTTATAAATTGCAGTTGTTGCAGGAAATAAAGCCTCTCCCGTGTTCCGTCTGCTAAGTTTTCCACTTCGACTTTCAGGAGCAGCTGCCGGACCTGCACGGCCATTTCTGTGACCTGAACCTGGAGGCCCATATGTACGCGTCCCAGTGGTTCCTCACGCTCTTCACGGCCAAGTTCCCGCTGTGCATGGTCTTCCACATCCTGGACCTGCTGCTCTGTGAGGTAGGGCGACCCCCCCCTCGCACCCGAGCCAGAGTGGGAAGCAGTTTCTGCGCGACTCACACGGCTGCCGGGCCCTTCCTTTTCCGCCGCGGCAGTAAGCCAGTGAGCACTGACCGAAAAGTTCTGTTTCAGTTTGTATTAAAGACTGTTTTCATTGTGATTTTATTACTTGTGAGAAATGAAAATACTAAGGCACATATAATTCCTGCAAAGTAAAATGCGGTAATAAAATTTGTATAAGTCATTATAAGCCCATCTATGTGTACTAATAGATTATTAATATAAAGGACCTTAAAAATTAAATAAATGATTTAGAATCAGGTGTTTTAATAGTAATGCAGTTATACTCCAAGAGTGAATATAAGTGAAAATTTTATAATAATTAAACCCTCAACTTATAAGCTGTCTCTGTGTATGATGTTTGATACTCCATCCAGATAAGAGAGAAATGATAAAGTTTTTGTATCATGTAATTGTGCAAACTGATTTTTGAATATTTTGAAATATCCTAGAGTAGAATTATTTCAAAAAATCAGCTTGCACAATTTCTTGGGTATCTATAGTGTTTATTTCATTTATTGTTTTTAGTTCCTTAGATGACTGTGTTTATTTACTTTACTCTCTTAAAGAAATAAGTGATATTACACATACATACCACATCTACTAACCATTAAAATGTTTAACATTCTTAACAGTGTTGGAAAGTTGCTGGATGAGAAGAATTTTTTTACATTGGAAATATAAATGGATATAAAGTATAGCTGTCTGAAATTTAAAAGCTGTAGTAATTATTCAAAAGTATTGAATATGAGACTAACATGATCTAGGCAGTTTTGTATTCATATATTATTTTTCTTATATGAAGTTGCCTCTTTCTTAAAAGAAAGTTCTATTTTAATCACCCTGGAAACTAGAAATGTAATGATAAGATTTACAAGAGTAAAGTGGATCAGCTGCATACAGCATGACTTATCTCCCAGCCCACCACGGAGATGCCCTTTCACCTGTGAGCGGAGCTGGGGTTGCTCGTCCCAGGTCCTGGCCGGCCTTTCACGGTCCTTGCAGGCGCAGAGCGTTCTGTGGGCACATAGGCTTCTTAAACATTTCCATTGTGTTTTGATAAAGAAGGGCCAAGTGACTTGCTGAGGGTCACAGAATAAGTTCTCAAATATTGAATGCATTACAGCTGGAGAAATTGATTGATAACACATCCATTCTACTTGTTTTACTTACAAATTGGTTTATAAAATGCTATCTAAATTTAAGCTAAGTGCAGAATTTGGAGCAAAAGCCTTATTTGAAGTCAGATGGTGTGATCGCTGGACTGGTGACTGTAGTCTACAGTCACCTCCGCCTGGCGTTGGAGCACCGCTGTGGGGTCTTCTGGGCCCCGGATAGAGAGTTTTTCAGGAAGTGTTATCTTGAAGATAACTTGAATTTCTAATTTCAGTTGCTAAGAAAGATTAGCAAAATTTATGGTGAGGAAGAGAAGAGAAAATTTATAAGCCGTCTTATCACTTGTCAACTGTGATTCATAATCATGGGGTTTGAAACACCTTAATGCTTATTAAAATTGGTAAGAGTGTCACGGAGAGATGCCACTCGCCCTCTCTCAGACTGGTGCTCTGCAGCTGCTGCAGGGGCACACACATCGCCTTCCGAACGAGGGGGCGGGTTGTGATCACAGCGGTGGGCCAGCCGGGGAATAAGGGACACACCTTAACAGAGCAAAGTGGCTTTAAAGATAAATCTTACTGGGAACAATAGCACAGTAAGCTCCAGGATACTCGTTCTTTCCACTAACTCATCTTTGTCAGAGTATTATTTTGCAAAGGAAATTTTTAGATAAACTTTTATTTCCTGCCTGTCTGTGTTCTCTGTCCATTTCCTTCTTGTAGTTAATAAAATATTTATATCAACGCTATTCTTTCACATGATAAAATATTCTAAAAGAAGAAATAGTAACATAGTCTTAAATAGAATCAATCCATTTAAGTTTTTTTGTCATATTCTCTATTTTTTAAGAAAACGACTCAAATCTTGATGGTTATAAATTAATGTTTAGTTACAAAGGGAAGGCTAGGAAATTTTCAGATGGAAAGTGTTAATTTTTCAAAAGCTTTTCGAAGGCCCTCCCGGCCTTCACTGCCCGGGGTCATTACCCCTCCAAAGAGCGATCGCGATCCTGACTTAGAACACCATCGGGTAGACTGGACTGTTTTTGAACTTTACATAACTGGAATCATACAATACGAACTGTTTCTTGTGTAGCTTTTTCACTTATCATTGTGTTTGTGAGAGTCGTCTGTGTGGGGTCATGTAGGTGTGGTTGGTGTGTCCCATCAGAAATGTACCACCGTTTCTCCATTCTTCCATTCTATTGTCGATGGACATCTGGGTCATTTCCAGACGAGGGCCATTATGAGTGGTGTTGCTGTGAATGCTCTTGAACTTGTCCTTCGGTAAATTCCTTTTTGGAATTGCTGGGTTAGGATATGAATGCACTAAGATTTACAGATGCCACCAAGCAGCTCTTCAAGTATTTTGAGCATTATCTTTTGAGTTGTTTCTATTCACTAAAAGTCTCCTTGGGATCAAGGACTAGTTTTTATTTTATTTTGTTTTGTTTTTTAAGAGGGCAGGTCCTGCATCAGATTAGAATTCATGAATATGAAACAAAATGCAACTCATTTGGTGACTGAAGTCATTTCCTTGATCTCCGGAGTTGCATGCAGATGGGACCCAGGGCTGGACCTGAGGGCCGAGCCTCTGGTTCTTCCCCGAGAGGAGTCGGCCTGGTGGGGAGTGTCCAGCAGCATCTTCCGTTGTGGGGGAAGCTACACAAAGTCAGCTTGGTACTGAAGTTAAGATAATCGGTGCTTCAGTTAACCCCTGCTGTATCCCTTGTTCATGTCCTTCGACCAATCTGTGTCTCAGTTTCTTCATCCTTTAAATGAAGCTGACGATACCTATCTCCCAGGTGTGTGTGAATAACTAAGTGAAATTATGAATAATACGGTGCTTGGCACTGTGTCTGTTACATCCTAAGTAACCATTTCACATTGCCCTTCATTCTGCTCTCAGTTTCTTCACTTAACTAGCAGACCGGGAGATTAAGAGAGGGTCAAGTATTTGCCTTTCCAACAACCCTTGTCTACCCTCCCCCAAGTTGAGATGCTTCTTTGCTGAAACCAAAATTTTAGCCATTGACCTAAATGGAAGTTACATTCTGTTTCCTTTTGACTGGTGATTTAAGTCATCCTCCAATAATAATTTTTCCACCTTCTTTCAAAAGACACAAGGAAAGCAGTATTTCTTTTAGTCTTGACAAGATAACTGACATCCAGTATTTGAAGCTGACTGTTCCCAGATAGTTCAATCTTCAGAGTATCAAATATATTCAGCTTTTTATAGTAACTTGGTATTTCATGAAATGTAAGAAAATCGTTGACCTTTCAAATTAGAGTATATTTCTTGCCTCTCCTTTCTTCTTAGGATAATAAAAAAAAATATTATTTAAAATATCTTGTTAAATACAAGGGGGATCAAGTATAATCCCCTTTCAGGGCAATTTTCTGGAGCTGTAACCTGAAGAGGAGGTTTATTATGTAATATTCTTACTCTTTGCCCCATCTTCCTCCCTCAACAGTAATATGTTGAATTTTGAGAAATTGAGATATAACTGACATAGCATTTTGTGGGTTTGAGGTTTATAACCTGTTGGTTTGATACGTGTTGGTTATATATTGCAATACGATTACTACAGTAGCATTAGTTGGCAACTTTATCAAATAATACCATGAATTTAAAAAAACATCACAATGGGCCAATATAAGGAATATTAAGAATTCTAACATAAATATAAAACTTTCTGAAAACTTTAAAAGTAGTGATTGGCCACGAGAGTGTGGGGCAGGGAGTTGTGGGGGGGTGCTTTGACTAACCAATCAGTATTGTGTAGTCTACTTTAGAATTTTACTTAGCAATAGAAGTCTCCAGGACTAGGAAAGACTTTCTCTAAAACCCTGTTTCTGGACCTGACTTCGTCCCCACCTGCAAGCTTTTTGTGGCCCTCGCATCAGCTGTGTCACAGCTGTGTCTTGTGCTTTCACTGATTTTGTCGTTGCTGAGGGAGGTGGGAACCTCGAGTTAGGATGGCGGAGCCATCGTCCGTGCTCGTGCTTCCTGCGACTTGTAGAGGAAGGGTTACTCGCGTATGCATGCACTCATTCATTCATTCATTCATTCAACACAGATGTATTGAGTTCCTGTTAAATGCTGACACCATTCAAGTTTGGGGACACAAAAGTAAAGAAAAAGAGGATAAAACTCTTGCCCTCGTTACCTTGTAGAAGAGACTGATGATAAACAAATGATCAAGAAGAGTATGTAGCAGATCAAAGGTGAAAAGTGCTTTGGAGAAATATAAAGGAAGGAGGAGAAATGTGGCAGATTTTAATAGGGTCCTTTGACCATCGGAGAGAATCTGGATTGTCCTAGACTGAGACAGGAAACCCCTGGAGAGTTTTGAGTGGGAGAGGGACATGCTCTGACGCCTGGTCACTCAAGTCGCATTGCTGAGAAAGATTTTTGGGAGCGGTCGGAGGCCAGTTAGGAGGCAGTGCAGATACCTGGGTGGCTTGGGCCAGGCTGGTGGTTCGTGGCAGTGCAGGTGTGAGAAGTGGCTGAGCTCTGGACAGGATGTGCCGATGGGTCACCCGGGGTAAGGTGGATTGATCACGGGTTTTCAGTCAATGTGGTGGCGGGAGGGAAGGACTCGTGCAGCTTCCGCGCTTCCGGGAGCGTCTCGGGGACAGACGATGCTCTGGAGTGACCGGGAACTTCACCGCGACTGCTTTCTCCTGGCAGTGCTCGGATTACAGTCTCTCTGCAACGTTTGCTCTAGAAGCAGGTCCTGGTGGCCTTGGGGACACTTAAGGTCAATGTTGGTACATTTAAGTAAGAAATATAGAGGGTGGAATAATTACAAAAGCTGATCA